CCCCAAAACCCCAAAACCCCATGCACATAGATTTGAATTGAGAATTGAAATTAAAGGAAATTAAGATTAAAACTCTTTCACTTCATGGCAAATATTTTTGTCTTTACATTACTTTTAAGGTCACTAACTTTAATATTTGTAGTGAATATTTTAGCTCCTTTGTATCTGTGTGCTAGTTTTTATTCATCATCTCCTTATTTTAAGTTCATTGATTCTTTGTGATTGGCTTAGTATTCTCTGAAGGAATTATATCCATTGCCATTAATTGATACTTGAGCATTTTCATACATTTGAGGAATAAATGCAGTGGGAGATTGAGAATCAACATTAAGCGTGAGATTATCAATATTCACATCATCTAAGATATTGCTGCTCTGAAAATCTTTATACAATTCAAATCCATCTGCATTCCCTGATTTCAGTGATACACTTTCTTGCCTTACATTTTAAGTTAGACCATAGATGAGAACATTAGTTATTTTGATTAAGCAGTTGTCGTACTAATTATTCTTGAGGCTGTTAACATAGTATAAGTTTCCATTTTCAAAGTTGAATTCTATATAAAGTCTTTCATTTTTTTCTTAATTTCTGAAAGTAATACCATCATCAATGTAGAGATGTCCTCTCGCCTTCTAATTTTTGTCTGCATAAATCTCAAGGCTAATATCATCATTAATTGCTTGCATAATACTTTCTCTACCCTCATGCTACTTAATAGTTATTATAGAGCCTGCTCTTATAAATATCCCTTACTCATCTTCATCAATGAATTCTGGTAATTAACTTTAGCTAGTAATTTTTTCAGTTCTATTAAACCAATAGTACCATTCACTATCTTTTGGGAGATATATTGGAACCTTATATCTGAATTTTTAATTTGAAAATTCACCCTTTTTCAAACCTACTAGCTTTGGCGCAATCATTAGTGAATCTCCGTACATAAATTGAGTATTAATTCCAAAGCAATCAGTATCTGAGGGAAATTCATACCATAATGGTCTCGCTATAGGACTTCCATCCTTATTTGCTTAATAAAATGATGTATACCTAAAAAAGTATAATCAGAGGTGTAAATTACAAATAATGAATGAGATCATAGCGGATATGAATAGCCTAACGAGCATATTTCTTTACTTTTTCATTTTAAAGATAAGGTTCTCTTCTATTTTGGCTAATAATTCCATGCGCTCTATTTAAATGAATAATGAAATATTTACCTGAAAAACGGATAGAAAATACCAAGTTAATAAAACATGACATAAAGCTCATCCGTGGGCTAACCAGCATATCCTGGAACATCTGCTCCAACAAATTGAATGCCAGTGATACTTAAACTTAATATCTAAGATATAGAAATACTCAGCTCTTAAAATGTTGCACTATTATCACCAGTCCATTTTGCTGCGAATTTTTAACCACCAAAAAATGTATTTCTTGTAAGAATGAAAGGCCGCTTAGGCTCAGTTGTATTTCTTGCTTTAAGACCATTGTATGTTGTCTCAAGCATCATTCTACCATACACTGTTTTTACATCTTTTGAAAGTATTACCTGTCCATTAGATAACTAATGTAATGCATCTTTAGGCATTGTTGCCTCTGGCCCGTCAAATACAGACGGTTCATTCATATCAAGCCAAATGTTGAAGCTATCATCAGTCCCAAGGAAGTAATCAAAATTGTATAATTTACTCCAAAAGTCTCTAGCACCTTTATTAAAGAAATCTATCCATACACTTTCACCAGGCCAGCATAAACCCTTAAAGATGTTTCCATTTCTCTATCTCACAAACATGCTTACTAAGTCATTACTCTAATTTGTTTAGTGAAGTTATAAAGCTTCTTTGTATATTCTAAAAGTTTCTGTTAATTTAACATGAGGATCAGTGATAACAACAAAATGCCTATTTTTTTCTTAAACTTCCTTTTTCATTTAAGCCATTAAATTTTCTGGGAATTTTCTAGGAGAAAAAGCAAAATACTTGGAGTCATCTGTATAAGGTATATCCATCCAAAATACATCAACAGGAATTTTACTTTCTGAAAATTTTCGATTCCATTCCATCATTCTATTAGCAGATAATTCAGATTCCCATTTGCAATAATGGTAGCCAAGTGTGTAAATTGGAGGCAAAGCTTAATAACCAGTTAACTCAGCCATAATTTTTTGAATTCTTCTTGGGGAATTTTAGACTGCACTACCGAACATATATATTTCGAGTCTTCCAGATTCTGTTACAAAATCTACAAATCTACCCTCTTCAAAAGTTAATTCATCCATTTAATCATATATATCTATAAAGGATCCAGCTGCTGTCATCCAGAGTAAACTAGAATCAAAATTTACTGAATGACCTTGAATATAAGGCAAACTAGAATAAGTTCCTTCTCTAGCAGTAGTATCATGAGGATAGACATCTAACGCTGTCATTCTATATGGTTACCCTCTTCCCTCAGTAGATTTTAATCTAAATGTATCAAGCCTCTCAGGTATACCAAATAAAAAAGGAGTAGGAAAGTAAACGCCCATACTATAGCTTTCTCTGAAATCCCAAGTTTCTAGGAAACCTTCTGATGAAGAAGTCTTTTGTGAGTATGGATCAAGGCTAAAATAATTTCTGATTTTTTCGTGAGATAATTATGGGAACAGCTAATAAATGCATTCATTTTCTTGCTTTTAGTATTCAACTTCCTTTCTCTATAGGAACTAAGTATTTTCGAAGTAAAGTGAATCTTTATGATTAACAATCATAGTTTGAATTCCATTTATCCTTTGAATAAGTCTAAAGTTCTTGAATTATAATTCATATTCATATTTATCCTTCTTATCTTCTGATGAGGTTTTAATAGTAAGACTTTGATCTCCATTTATCTATATTTTATCAGCAAGCGATTCTATCTATTTTAGGTTTTCCTTTTCAATACCTATTCCAATATCAGTAATGCCAAATCTTGCTGTTAGATTATTTGAATCTGACATTTAAAGTTTGACTAGGCCATTTTAAAAGACCTCTAAGGCTGCATACAATTAATTCTTGAGATACAATGATTACCCTGATCCACAATTAAGATCAAGGAAGAATTCAATTTTATCAGTCTAAAAGTTTGATTTTGTAAGAATTATTAAAATTACAATATTGATAGATGAGACTAGGACTTTATAGGAAAAAACTGGGGTCTTTCTATGAGCGATATTTGTTTTTAGAGCTCTGTATCTTCCACAATAGTCTAAACAAGTGTAAGATAGATTGATGTTTACTGATTTTATCGCACTTTAAAAACTATAAATTATTTGCAGCTGTGAATGCTATCATGAGGAATAAGAATAGCACATGTGAGAATAGATTTTTATTAACCTTCATTTTATTATATAATAACATGTATTCGGAATTTGCTAATTAAATCTATTTAGATTTTTAGAAATAAATGATGATGGGGTTTTGGGGTTTTGGGGTTTTGGGG